AAATAAACAAAGCAATGGGACCAAGTGTTTGGAACTATTTTGATATTCTTTACATACCAACGTGATATCCGATTCAGTCGGCATAAGGATAACACCCAAAACTGGATAGCAAATCACCAAATAACATGGCCGCTTACTCAGCAGCAATGATGCAGAGTGACACCTAAAAACACCATTTACAAGTCACTATTTGAATTTAACATAATGATTGGTACTTCGATATACTCACGGATGACATTAAATAATGATCACAATCAGCACCGTTAAGATCAACACTACTACGATGATGAGATCTGAACGAAATATAGTATACTGGTTGGTTTGCAGTGCAACGCATGCCCTCGTGTTGCATGTTATAAAAGAAACCCGCATCCTGATCCACCTTTATGTTCTTTTGCAGTTGGTGTCTGTAGTAATCGTATCTGAAACTTTATTTTGTTTTATATGCGTGTCTGATGTCATGAAGTCAAAAAGGATCCTATATATGTATATGTATATATGACTGTCACGTGTGTCTGTGTGTGTGATCCGAATATAACGTTACCTCCTATGTGAATATATCATATTTATTTTTGTTCTTGAAATTTTATGGATTCGAAAATTAACCGATTTGTGTTTATGTGGTTTATGTTCTTAACATATTGTTTCCTAAAAATAGCTAATAAATTTTAAAATTGATTTAATGTCTGAATGCCTCGTGTGAAAGGATAACACATATGTATGGGTATGACGGATTTATACAAACTTGCAACAAAACTTGCAACCAAGAGCCTTCTGATTGAAGGAAGAGGGACTGACTGCTGTGACAACGACATATACTATATCTTTCCACAGGACTGCTGGAGTCAATACCATAGTATCAATAGTTGACAAATCTACTTAATACATAATACATTAGCTTTGTACATTTCGCGCAATGGCAATTTGAAAACGAAACCTTACCTCGCAACCCAGAAACAAAGATTTGTGTCGGTAGGCTGTAATTTCTCATCTATTGCGATCTAAGGGAGGTAACATAGTAATATTGATTCGACATGTATGCAGTGAAAGTGTTTGGCACATGTTTAAGTGTGCAAGGGATATTTTTTGTTTCTTTTCCTCCACAAATTTGATGCCATGTCATCCCGCCTAATATAAAAATCCATACAAAATTAAAAAACCGTCCATATTTTTGTATAATAGTAGCAATAATAAAACATAAGAATATTATCCACTTGTCCTAACAGCTCAATAGAACCTCATAGCAAAGGAAGTTTATGCACCCAAACTCCAATTTCATACATGCATTTTTTACGTCTGAAGGTCGTTTTGATTCAAAGTAATGCTTACCGCACAAACGGAAGCCCTTTCCAAATGTGATATCTTTGTTAAAAACTCTGTGTACTAAACAGGTTGACACCACTGAAAATAGTTGCCGTCAATGCTGTTTTTGGGGATATTCTATTCGACTTGAATCTACGTGTCTACTGCTATAGGTGGCTAGCTCTGCTTCCAAGCTGACTATTGGTATTTTATAATCTACATACTGTGAAGTAACTATGGGTGGTATACATTCCTGGCATAAAATTTCAAGAACAACACAAGCAAAAAGCACTTAATTCACAGATATATCCGTATCTTTAATTATTCAACAACAATACCCGAAAAAGTCACACCATAAACTATAGTTAAGAAACCTGACAGTGGTCAATTTACAAAATTGTGCCGTACATCCTTAGAGTTGTAGGGATATTAACAATTGTACCAACATGTTAGATCAACAAAGCACCAGATGTTGAACAGCATGCCATTCTGACACCGACAGACTGACAAATGCATTTCAAATTATGTGAACTTTAACGAAAATAATTATATCCTTTTTTCATTGTATGATTTCATCTGGAGTTCTAATGAGCTCCAACCCCACCCTGAACTTTCCTTTAGGTTTGAACCCCCAGAAGGTCAGGTGAAGGTGTGGTAATAATAATTATTATCGTAGGTGAAAAATATTAGACGAGCGTGAAATAAAGCTTACCCGTTATAATAGAGGTAGGGTATTTACATTTACGCATTCGTGTAGGGCAAGATGGGAGGTGGAGGATAGACAGGAGGAGGAAGGCTTTTGACATTTACTATGTTTGTGTGGGGAAAGATGGGAGGTGGAGGACAGACATGAAAAGGCATGGTATTCATATTTATCTTATTTGTGTAAAGCAAGACCGGATGTGGAGGATAGACAGGAAGAGGCAGGGTTTTGACATTTATTGTATTTGTGTGGGGAAGGATGGGGAAAGGATTACAGCTAGAAGGAGGCGGGGTTTTGACAGTTACCGTATTTGTGTGTGGGTGGGTGGGGGAGGGGGATATAAAAGAAGGGTACTTGAGGCATGATATTTACATTTACCTTATTTATGTTTGGAAAGATGGGATATCGGGAAAAATTAGGTGATGCAGGGTATTTCATTTTCCTTATTTGTGTCAGGAAAGAGGGGATATGGAAGAAAGGCAGACGAGGCGGCTTATTTACATTTACCTTAGCGTGTGTTGAAAGTGGAAATATTGCAGAGACAGAAAAACTTTAGAACCCAGGACATAATTCACTAAAAGATTATTGAGGATGATTGAATTGAGAAAATACTAGATTTGGTATCATTTTCATGAGCAACTGTTTGAATATTAGAGCTTTGACTAAGAAGAGGATGACGACGATACTGCCACAACTGCTACTACTACTGCTGCTACTACTATTACTACAACTACTACTACTACTATCACTACTACTACTACAACTACTACTACTACTACTATTATTATTACTACTACTACTACTATCACTACTACTACTATTACTACTACTATTACTACTACTACTACTACTACTACTACTACTACTACTAATAATAATAATAATAATAAGTATAACGAAGCCTTCATCGAGCGATGAAATGCATCTGGCGTGCGTCTCATGTTACGATGCATCTTGTAGTAAATATTGTCTCCAGAACGATTTAAAAGGCTGTCAACTGCCATTGCTAACTAGATTCCTGATACCTAGGTTATACAGTTTTATCTTGTAAGTACTATCTCAGACTCGGACTCAAAATACAAAACTGGCAATTTTAGGTTAGTGAATGTCGATTTCCTTTATATCTTCTGGGACAAACTATGCTTCCAGGACATTTTACAGAAAAAGAGTAGAGTGAAGTTCGCTACCGTAATGTCCTATACATTTATTTTTTGCTTTCGCTTAATGCTTTACTTTTTGTTATTTATTGATTTTACGTCTAAGCAAGAAACTGTTCCTGAAAGATGTTAAAACCTCCAGGCAATGGCTTGCTCTGCAGAACATGTTAAAAAGTGTGAATTGAATGTTACAGTTGTTAAGATCCGATGGGATTGAAAACCAGTTTAATTAGTGAGATGGTTGTATTTTTGATTTGATTGGTTTTGAATGTATTGAAAACCAGTTTAATTAGTGAGATGTTTATTATTTTTTATTGGTTTTAAAAGTATTTATTGACTATAGCATGCTGAGGAAACGGGAGCAGAGTTCCTTTCGAAAGGAAACACCGAGTCTGCCAGCCTGGGTAGGTATCGAACCCGCGAACAGTGGATTACGAGTTTGACTTTCTACCAATTAAGTTACCAATGCTCCCCTTGGAATAGGAATTCAAAAGGCAGTTCGTTTAAATATCATTCACATTGTCATGTACCATTACTAGTCTGGATGAGGAGGAGATTTAAGTCTTGTTCTTTTCTTTGCATTAGCGTAGGAAATGTATACTTTGTTATCTGGGGGTAATTTTTTTAAAGTAATTGGTGTGTGGAAATGGTGGTTGGGGTGGGGCTGATGGGAAAAGAAGGTTAATGATGCAGAATTTGCTTGGATTTGTTGTGACGATTTGCAATTTGGTATCTTTGTGCTCTTTTTGTATATTTTATAATATGCTTTATCTGACGAATCTGTAGCATAAAAGAAGAGAGACTTGGACGTAGTTGTCCTTTACCTATATCTGTCCTGATTGGTCAAAGACTAACAGTAATATCTAACTACTCGCCCTTAAATTAAATTTGCTTTTGTAGTAACATTGAAACTTTGTGTTTGTGCCGTTTTTGTTCAAGTAAATTTCTGTAAATTTTTGCTTATTGACCTTAATCAATCTGTCAATCGCATCTATATATCATACTAACCATTTCTTTTTGCTTATACGTCTATTTGATTTAGCTATCCCATTTTCTCTCTCGTGCACGACATATATTTATGGGATGGTTTGGTGTTTTACGGCAAAGCAACACACTCAAGTTTGTATTGTGTCAAGGCAAGAAGAGTTAAGCCCCTTGTTTAAGGGCACACTAAGGTACAAAATTTGGGCTGATCCGATGGTAGGAATCGAATCAATCTGCACTATCTGGTCAAGAGAACAATGACATAATACCAACATTTATTTGCATGTTTGCATTTTCACTCAAAGTAAAGTCATAGGAGATCAAACGTGTTAAACTTCGAGGATAAGTAAAATTTGTGCTCAGTTTCAGGGCTACAGGACTTATGATTAATCTAAAGAAGCTGTATGATCAAGATTTTATTTTACATAAGTTCGGGATCCTTAATAAAATATATATTTATTGTCTTTGTCGTTGTTTGGATATTTTACACTCATTTACACATGTACACCAAGTACAAACGCGCGCGCGTGCATGCGTGTGTGTGTGCGTGTGCGCGCGTGTGTGTGCAGGGCAGCAGAGCGATCGCGGGCCCTGGGGTAAGAAACAAAATTGTTCTTTTATAAAATTTAAAAATGTTAGTATCCCTCCCCTCCCCTTCCCCCTTTTTGTCTATCCTCTGTGTGTGTTTTATATATTTATATTTTCAATGTAGCTTTAACAATTTTTCTGTCATATCGCTACATTTAGCATCATGATATGCCGAATCACATTACACTGACACCAGGCCGACCAGTCCTAACAGAAACCTCATAATGCTGAGTGCCAAGCGAGGCCAGTACCATTTTTATAAGTATTTGTTATGACTCGGCTCTATGTTCGAACCCGTGGCCTCCAGCATCCGAGGCAGACGCCCTAACCAGTTAGGCCACCGGAGCGGTCCCATGTACAAATAAAATGCAAGATATTTTAAGGAAGTATCTAAGGCTGAGGTCATATATTCAGATCACGAGTATAAGAGTTTTGGTTCAGAACATTGTCCAAACGAAGGTACTTTTGTTTTCAAATGCTTCTTTTGATGTCTCCGTTTCAGACATGTGGGGCACTGTATCTGTATGTAAATTGAACTATTGACATGACTATTAGCTATGCTTGCAGAGTTGAGAGAAAGTTTACTTTAGTGACAAAAAAGCAAAAGTTAAAAAAACCCGCACCCCCCCAATATGAAGCCATTAAGTGATGCAGGTTGTTTCCACGCGTTTAAAATTAATATGATGCTCAATGTAGGCAACATGTGTTTAATTCGAGCAATGCGCATTTGGCAGACGTTCAGAAATATAGATGAGATGAAAACATGTGTACACGTTTTATTATTTACCTTACAGGTTTTTGCGTATCTCGCTTTTGTCAATTACGTTGTTAGGTCGCAATCTAAGCGAGCCTTTGAACAAGCATTACTTGATCTTGTTCTAGATTCTGCTGACCTTTCTAACCCCGTGCTAGATATTTGGATGGTTATGTTTGAATGGATATCAGCACTCATCCCCTGTCGAGTTTGTTTCTTTATCTTATTTTATGGCACTTTTGCACATTATTGGCAGGTCATGCCAAGAAGGCGGGATCTAAATACCGTTCCCAAGAAAATACCGAGGCAGTCGATCGAGGAGGACATGAGCGGGTATCAAATCAGCGACCTTTTGATTACGAGTACGACGCTCTACCAGCCGAGCTACTGCAAATAAATATTGAAACGATGAGATATGCCGAAACTATATATTAGTGGCATAGGGGCGTCTTTTTAAACAGAGGATAATAAAATTAAGCGACAAAGAATCGAACTCTTGGCTAGTATAGATAAAACGAATATTTACCTTTTTCAGTCAATTAAATCATATTTGGTTTCTTTAATAAACCCACACTCGAGACAAATTTAGTATTTACAAAGTGGATACCATACTTTGCCATTTCTTCTATTGCATTCTTACATTAACCAAATCTCGCGGTTATCATATTTATTAATGTTAGGAGAAAGATAATCACGTGCTGCAAAGAACCTGGGTAGGGAAAGTTCTATCTTCTCAAGCCATGGGCGATAATCCAATACGCTCTTTTATCACCCATGCGGTGAATTCATCGCTTTCATGAATATGCATAAATTTACTTAGCCAATCGCTACAAGCACGAGTATTTTTTTTCTAGACATTGTGCTCCAACATGACCTTTCATGCTGTTTGACTGAATCAATCAAAGTTTATTTTCCATACAGTCACTTATCCAGAGCCGTTTTAAGGCATAATCACGTGAGGCACACGCCCTGGAACCCCTCGCGCAGCAGAGGGCCCGGCGGCGGCCCAATAAGGTATAACGGTACCAATTGTACAACCCCAGGTGGGCGGAGCTTAATTGCATTCAGAAATAAACAAAACTAGCAGTGATTGTTGCATTATGTAAGAGTTGTACTTTCTGTTAGGCTTTAAAAAAAAGTTGAGCCTCTTTACAACATGTCAAATTATGTAAATTCATATCTAGATCACATTTGGTATTTTTTTAAGATTTTTTTTTTAAATGTGGTACACATGACTGAAAATGTGTCCGGTGTAACTAGATAACTCTTACCCCTGTCTAGTTCCAGCAGAGTTATCTCTCTTAAATGCAATGGAGTACCTATTTTCGATGTTATCAAATTAACAATCTAACATTGTTCTCTGTGACAGTGTGTTACATGCATGCTGAGGTAGGATAGAAAGTATATTTATTTCGCAAAACATTAGCATTGCGGTCTATGGAAAAACAATTGGTACCGTGATACCATAACAAAATTTCGGTGTCGGTTGTGTTAGCAGTTAAGTACTATATTAATAAATTTAACAAAATGACACACATGCACCTGTTAATGTAATGCAATATTCTATATCTGAGACTGAGAGATTGAGGCGCAATGCTGGTTGCTTATAAGGTTAAAGTTTGTGCTTAGGGCTCCCAAACTTCTTAAAACGGCTGTGCACTTATCTTTTAATAAAAAGAGCGCTGTCATTGATATTTAGGAGATTTGTTACAGTGTGGTTTTGATGACCTATTTTGTTTATGCGTGCTCAATGAAAAAGAGGACATCTCAGAACAGGCAATCAAGAGTTATAAAGGAGCATAGTTGATTATTGCCAGTGGCTTGCGACGATGAAAAATGACTTGTTACGGTCGAATACTGTTGTCCCGAAATTTGACCACCATGTGATTAGCAAAGTAGCAGAGAAGAATATGTCTGAGAATGTTTATATTCTACTTTTATGCTAAAGTCGGTTACTTAGCCTTTATTGTGTGCAGTTTCAAATTTTTTTAATATTATAACATGTGAACATATCATTTTATGTGATTCTGATTGGTCCAAATAAGCCCATGAAATTTTTGTGCATTATTATCTTTACTGATTAGCATCGATCGTGAAGAAAACTTTTTTTTACCACGTTTTCTGGATTTTTTTTTCAATGAAAGTTTTGGCGGTCATTTTTAGATTAGACTGGAATTGTGAGAAAAATGGTCTCGTCTGTCTGAATATCACCAAAATTTACTCCTACAGAGGTTTATTAAGGCATGAATAACAATATAATCATATGAAAACCCAACACAAGTATAGCAACAAGAAGTAAAATGGTATTGTTCATTTGATAGCGAGGGGTGAAAGGTGCGATAGATATATCTGTGACATAGAATCCACCCTATATACAAGCGTGATTTAAATGATGCCGTACAGAAGTAAAAAAAAAAAATCACCTCTGTTCACAGAATAATTTGGACATGTACCGGTCTCCCAACTGACTGTACATTATTCTTCCACAGCTATTTGCGCGGTAAATGTGTGATTTAAATCCGACTAAATAAGAAAAGTGTTTACGCCTTCTGTACAGTCTACTGTCCCAAATCAAATACTGCAGATATCCGGTCACAAATACATTACAGTATACATGGGAATTTCTGCATCCAGTAAATCTTCTTTCAAATGAATTTTGCAACAATGTTGTGTTAAGTTGTGAAAGGGACATTTTAAGTTACATAAACATGGGTCATTTAACCATTGGACATTCTGTGTTGAAAAATGATTTTTGTTTGTGTAAAATGTTCTGTTTATTCGGAAGGACGCGTGCTTTGACTTATAATTTGTAAGAAAAGTTAATCTGTTTTTAATCGTGAATACGTGAATACTAATTCAGTTTTGTTTGGGACTCTTTTACGCACAATAAATGAAATGTGCAACGTCGGTCAGAATGAACGAAATTATTCGTTCTTCTCTATTTAAATAGTTTACACTGAAATATAAACTGTGATAAAAAGAGTATCAAATGGGTTATGATTTAAAAATAAAATGTATGAAACTCGTTGAATAATGTCCATCTTTTGTTTGGCAAAACTTCGTGTTTAGGGAAAGCAGCCAAATCATCACTGATGCCACTTTCTAGTTAGTAGGCAACCACTTAAGGTTTCCTGATCTATATTAGTTTCTGACAATCAACCGATGATCGAATGACATTCTATTAATTTTCCACATTATGCCTTACCAAAATCGGTCTAGTCCGAAACGTTGAATGGTGCAGAACTGAATTTCGATAAAAATCGATCACAGAAATAATAATAGATTAATTGATCACTTCATTGATGGCAACCGATACTCGAACGAAATCGATTGTTTTGAAAAGCACCAGTTCTAGTTTGAGTTTATAATGGTTGGGACTAAATGATACCCTTTCATAAATGTCAAAATCATTATGTAGATTAAGTGTTAAGGATAGTTATTGCTGGTAATGATGTGTTCCGAATGACGTCTGTCACTGTCAGAAATTTAAAAGTTGGGAGTTATTAACGAACATGACTTTTTATTTGTGTGCGTCAGAAGTCCACGAAGGACTTTGGAGCTCTAACTTTAATCATATTGTCAATCACTTCAAGCAGGAGTAAAACCAATTCTCATACATCACTCCCGTGACCTAAGTGGTTAGAGCGACCGCTTCGGATACAAGAGGTTTCGGGTTCGAATCCTGGCTGAGTCATACCAAAGGCTTATAAAATTGGTACTAGCAACTGCATTGCCAGACGCTTGGCATTAAGATGTTAGTGTTAGGACTGGTCGTCAGGATAATGCAACTGGGTAGGACATGATGCCACATGTCTGCGACATGATGTTTTGGTGCTAGATATTACTATAAACTGACACACTGCAGACATCTAGCGATATGCCTCAAATTGTTAAAGCTATGTTAAAAAACCAAAACACACACACACATTTTCTCAGCATTGTGAACCAAAATAACCTTTCATTGAGTATCTGAATTAGTCAGTCCATGTTTCTCTTTCTAGTCACTTCTCGATTGACAAAATGGATTTCATTCATGTGTTGGATATTGATGTAGTTTTGTTATTGCGTACTTGTGCACAGCTATGAAATCTCAGCGAAAGCAGCTTCGGGCGACAAAGGAGTATAGCAGACTGTCTCCCGTGGCATGCAACGATGACTGTCAGCGTCTAGGTGAAGATCCGATAACTTGTCGCCCAAAATAATCTAAAACTCGATCACAACAAATTAGGCTGGTTAGACGGCAAAAAGACACAAAACCCAACAAAAAAGCCCACAAAAAGAAAACAATACCAAAAAAAGCAACCCCCCAATAAAAATCACAACAAAACTACGCATGCCATATTCAATCTGAAATGCTCTGGTAGGGAAAGTACTGTCTATCCATTATATTAAGTGAGTCGAATAGACGGCAACTACTTTTCGCAAAGTATTAATAACAGACGTCTGCAGATGAGTTTATCGTCTATCGTCTGTAATCGTGGTCTAATTATAAGGCTGTGGAAAAGATGGAAGTTTTTCGTCTGGGTTTAACCCGTATTTTTTGTGTTGTTTTTTTTTTTTTTATAAAAAAATGTTTCTTGATAATAAGGTT